TAAGGACTTTTCGGGGATCTTGACCTTATTAATAGTATTTACTAAGAAAGACTACGCCTTGTAATAGGGTCCTAAGGAAAAAGCGGCCTTTTATAAGCTAAAGGCGAGGTTCTAAGAAAGCCCGATACTACGATAGTAGGACCTAGTAAATAAGATATTTATCGATATATATTACTCGGGGTTCGCCTTTAAGGGTAGCCTAATATAAGAAAATGCGGACGGAAATCGCTATATAGTCGTATACTACTCTTATAAACTTAATAGGGTAGAATATATTTACCTAATCCACGATAAGGAAATACTAATAATTATAAGTTATTTAGCTATATAGCGGGCTAAGCTTATTAGCTATAAGTAGTTCATAGTCCGTTCTGATTATAAGGCCCTTAAATACTTTATAATAAAGCGAATACTTACTAAGCGATAAAGCCGATAAGCTAATAAGCTTATATAGTTTAATTTCGTGCTTGAGTATCGGAAGGGGGAGGATAATATAATAACAGACGCCCTTTTACGTTAATAATAAGATAAGCCCTAAGATATAACGGATAAACGGGAGTAATCTTATTATATCTAATTAATTCCCGATACCGCGATTCAACTTAGTATTCGTTATGTTAATAGTGGTTGAACGATCTTCGAGGCGGACTAAAAGTTATAGTAATTATAGGATAAGACGCTTATAACCGATAAATAGTATTAAGGAGGCTTATCTGCGGTTATTAAAGCAGAATAGTAATTTCCTATTATTATTAGAATTAAAGCTATAAATAGCCGAGTATTTAGTCTTTACGACCGGTTACTATTATTCCGCAACCGAATTTAAGTGCCCGGGTCTATTAAAGGGTTAATATTATAAGGGAGGATTATCTAGTTAATTCACGACTTCGTAATCGGAGGATACCCCGGACGCGAAAATACTATCGCCTTAGTATCATATCGCTTCTTCTAGCCGAGGATAAATAAGGATATCCGATAATTTATCCGGAACTATAACGTTTATAGAAAGGAGTATATATAGAGAAACGCGAAATAAGGCCTTTTACGCCCTTTTCCAGTACTAGAACTAATACGGAGCGACCTATTAATAGACTTTATAATAGACCTACTACTAGCCGGCGAGAAGAAGGCGCGCTACCTTTAGGTTATTACAGACTGTTTAACTAAGACTATAATATTAGGAGCGATAAAGATAATAAAAGCCGAAGCTTACACGAAATAGTTCGTATACTATTATTTCCGGTTTTACGTAATACCTAGGTCGATTATTAGTAACCGAGGTTTAAACTAGATAAGTAGGTTCTAGAAGCACTTTTACGAGCTCGCACGGATATTATATAAGCTTAGTATAGTATACTACCCCTAAACCGATAAAGTAATAAAGCGTATAAACTAAGAAGTATAAGCTTATTTACGAGCTTTTATCTATTACGGTTAGGATAACTAGGATCGCCTACTACCCGTAGCATAGCTAGCCCTAAATAACCGTAAGAGCTTTATAATAGGGTTTAGTCCCTTTTTCTTAGATTATAGCTATTATATTAACCCGATCTAGATAACTAAGGAGCCGCTTATAGAATCTAGAGTATTCGCGGCCTATATTCTACTACGCCGCTTATAAGAAGCGACCGAGTTCGCCTAGGCTATAATCGTATCGATATAGCTTACGAATAAGGAGTCTGCTAACTAATATCGTATACCGGCTAAGCGTTTTAAGGTTAACGACTTAGTCTAGCTATTATTAGCTAACTATTTAACTCCGCGATTATTATATAAGCTTAACTAGCTTTATCGTAAATACTAAGTTATAAAGGTAATTAGCCTATATATAATTCCGCTTATCTTATTATCGTAGATCTACCCCCGATTCTCTATACACTTATTATATCGCGCGGGCGATAACCCTTTTCCGGGATAAGTAGTAGATAACCCTTAACCACTGCTTATTTGAGAAGTAACCGATAATAAAGAATAGGAAGTCGAGGAAATCCTTTATATAAGGATAAAAAGGCGAGGTAAGAGATTAAGATATAAGGTATTAGTATAATAGGTAGGATACTATAACTCTATGTAGGAACCCCTAGAACTATTAGCGTAAACGCGGGTACTTAATAAGTTTAAAAGAAAATTCGGCTTAGTAATAACGAATAATAGCCTATTAGATACCTTCGCGCTATTATAATATAGGAGCCGATACATAAGCGATTATATCGCGATAATTAGAAAGAAGTAAGAGTCAGATTTAGTTTAGGCCGGATAGGCCCCGCGCCTTAGCCACGCTTAATATAAGCCTAGATTAATATTATTAGCCTTAAAATTATTATCCTCGGGATTATCGACTTTCGTAAAAGTCTTACCCTTATCGCCCTATTATAAGTTAGAGTCCGTCTCCTTGACCTTATTATCGCCTTTATTATCGTTATTATCGGGGATTATAACCGCGCTAGTAATAGTTATACCCGTAGGCGTCGTATACACTCCGAGTATTATTAGAGTTAGGAGATCACGATATTAGCATGACTAAGTATAAGTATCTCCCTAAATAGCTAAGTATACTCCTTTAGCTCTATAAGACTAAGACGCCTAAAGTCTTTATCTAATAATATTAACCCCGATAAAGGAGTAGGAGTAATAGGATAAGCGTTCTTTTCCGCTATATATTAAAAAGGGATTACGCCCGAAACTATTACCTTACCTATAACCTTATAAGGAAGAGATAAGGCTAGCTATTCCGTCTTAGTAATAACCTCTTCCGGAGGCGATAAGTTTAGTCCTAACACTATCTTTTCTATAACCTTTAAAGGAGAAGTAAAAACTAGCGTAACTACTTTATTAATAACCTCCGTTACTAGTGGAAGTAAGGCTAGTTTAGTTATTTTATTAACGATTTTAGAAAGAGGTAGTAAGGCTAACTACGGTGCTACCTTTTCTTATACCTTCTAAGAAGGAGAAGGGGCTAGCGTAATTACCGTGTTAGGAGCCTCCGCGGGATATATAGCTATAAGCAATATCGCTATTATCCCTTCCCTAGCTATAAGGGTATCCTAGAACGCCGCGTAGGCGTTAAGATACGGTTTCTACTCCTAGAAAAAGGGTTAGGGATACGGTTATAACCTTAAAGGGGGAGGAGGTCTTATAAGGGTGTTTTTATTATTATCGCTAATAAATATAACCGTCTCGAATAAGCTTTACACGTAGCCTTTAAGGTATATTAAAAGAGGAGTATACCGGTATATCTTTATAGAGTATATATAGTATTTCTTCCCCCGACTACTCTAGCTACTATAAAAGCGTTTATACTTTTCATTAGTAATATCGCGCGTGTAAAGGAGGCACGGCTTAGTATAAGCGTTATTAGGAGGCTGCTTAGGAGACCGACTACCCGCCGATTTCTTCTTCTTAGGCGGAGGCGATAGCGATAACACGAACTATTATACGGTTAGTATCGCCTTAAGGCGTAAGAGTATTATACCTATATTATTATCAGCGGTACGTTTCCTACTATTATTACCCTTATTATCGCTAGGGGCTAGCGCTATCTATAAAACGATAGAAGTTAGCGGAGGGTACCTTATAAATAGATCGCGAGAAAAAGACGGCTTACTTTAGACGGAGAGCTCTTAAACTAGCCGAGTATCGATAGATATTAGCTAGGAAATAACAGAGTCAGAAAAAGTCATCGCTATAAGGAAAAGTAAGTATATACAGAACTGCTAATACTATTATTATTATTATAATTAAAGTTAAGGAGAGGAATAGAGGAAGATAAAGCCTACGAGGAAAATAGGCCTAATATATTTACGGATAGATTTATATAAGGAAGGCCTATATACCTATTTTAGGTATATAAATAAAGATTAGTAGGCGACTTAAGCTTCTTTAATATTAAGGTAAGGGCGAGGTAAGATAAAGGGACACGACTATTCCTTTATTACCGCGACGTAAAGGGGAGTCGAGCTATAACACGGACGCGCGGTTATATAGCCCCCGGAGGAAGAGGGGGGGGATAGTGTTACGGGTTAACCCCGATATGAAGGATCCGGCTATACTCCGGATCTTCCCAACTACGCGCTTAGTTAACGAACCTATATCGCCTAGTTATCGCTACGTTATAGCTAGCCTAGCACTATAGACTTTTCTTCTCTTCTTTCTTCCTGCCTTAGTTCTAGATAATCTATTATTAGGACCTCACTTAGTGCCACGACCCATAACTAGTCGTTTTTAGTCATAAAGGCTAAAGGCTAGTAGAAGCTGGATATAGTATAACTCGGTGCTAAATAAAGGAAATCCTCCGTAATAAATTACCTAGTAAACCCAAAATAGAATAACTAGACCGCAGGAATTAAGGTTTACGCCCTATACCACTCCCCGGAGGCTATTTTAGTAGCTAAAAGATAGGCCTCTAAAGCCTGTATACGTCTTTTATTACCGAATAATAGCGGTAAAGATAGCGGTAGGCCTGCTAGTGCTTCCCGTAGTAAGGGTATTATATTAATCGTAAGACTATTAAATACTATTAGGCCCTTCCCGCTCACTTTTATAGCTCCACGGTAAGGATCCTAGCCTATCTTATCTATAAGCTTTTTAGTAAATCTTAAAAGGAAGGGATAGCTATCACGTTATCGAATATTCAAGAGGTAGTAAAGGAGATCACCTCTAGCGAGCTTAATAAGTGCCTTATAAAGGTCTGGACGAAGTTATTTATACTCGAGGCTTAGACTAGCGAGACTACACGACTAGAAGATAGGACTATTAACGTCGAATTTCGTAGCCACCACCATCTCTTATAATATATCGAGGTCCTACTAATCGTATATAAGGCTATATATTATAGTAACTTTAGTCTCTTTCGCGATATTATCCCTTAGCTGCCTATCTTCTTTTAGGGTAGTAAATCGTAGAAGTATAGCCTAGAGATAATATATTTTGCCTGGCTCTTATATCCAGATATATTAGACAGGAAGGTATGTAATAGTATTCTATAAGGAGGTCTTATTTAGTGTATCACTGCTACTAGTAGCTATAAAGCTATCGACCTGTTAATTAAGTATATTAATATATCGTATACGCTAGATTTTAAGTATAATAAGAACTCTACTCACGATATCTTATCCACCTTTAAGAGACTAGCTCTAAATAATAACTATATCGCTATTATTCGTAAGGCTATAGAAAGCTTCCTAAGAACTAAGCAGAAAGGAATATATATTCATAGGCAGGCCGCCTATTATATTATAGAGTATGCTTATAAGCTATATAATAACGGAGTTATACGTCCTCGGTATCACGAAGGCCCTATCCTTAATATACCCGATATCTATAAGCTTAGCTAAGAAGCTCTTCTTAAACGTCTAGAGGATTTTAACGATAGTGTTAAGAAACCTTATAATCCCGGTCAATAGGGGGATATGCCTAGTACGGCTAAAAAGAAGGATATAATTAAGTATTATAAGAAGGGCAATCGTTTATTTATAAATAGAGAACACGACCTTTAGACTAAGGGCTTTAACTAGGACGATTAGAGTAATAACTACGTTAGTAACTACTATATAAAGTGGCTACCCTGTAATTATATTAAGTCTATAGCCTCGGAAGTAAGTAATACTATAGGATATATACTATCTTTATATACTAAGGCTTATAATATAATAAAAACTAATAGTAAAATAAGAAATAGGTGATAATTACTTCCGTAGTTACCCCTAAACCTAGTATCTCTCCTTAAGCTATTTATTTAAATAACTCCTTAGTATTTATAGTAGTAGTATAACTAGCGCCGCTTTATCGTTAATATCGTTACTAGTATTACTATTACTATACCTCGCGATATATACAATATCCTATCTTTTTCGGAAGAGGAGCGACGTATATTCTTTCGTTTACTATCTATATACTACGATACTATACTGACTCTAGTACTAGGACCGGGTAAAAGACCTAAGAAACACAAGTAGCAGTAAAAGCGCCCTTAGAACTAAAAGGAGCCCTATATTCAATAGGTAGTCGCAAAGATTGAAAAGGTAGGGTCAAATAAGGAACCAGGTATAATTATAATAGGATTATAATAGGGTTAGAACGTGGGTATAGCTAAAGAATCAGATTAATCGCTAGCCTCCCTCTTTAAAGGGGAGGCTCCCTCGCTCCTTAAGACTACGCTCTGCTCCTCGAGGACTACTTATTTACTTCCTCGAGGGCTGCCTTATTTGCTTCGAGGGATTATCCTATTTACTATATAACGACTTACTTTATTTATGCCTTAAGGGGTCTTAGACTAGGTATACCTAGACCCTTATAGGTTTATACCAGGGACTTATTATAACCGCTACTATAGGCACCTGATATAGCGACCTCCCCCGGATACTCCTATCCTTAGGAGCGCCCGGTCTATGCCGGCCTCTTGGCTTCTCTAAACCTAGTCTCCGAGTCCGACTCCTAAAACCCCGATACCCCGACCTAGAGCCCTCTATAATATGGCCCTGTTAGGTCCCCGCTTAGTCCCCACATAGAGCCTTTTCGGCCGTGGCTCTAACCCGGGTATATACCCCTCCCTTTATTCTAGTAATAAAACTACTAAAGCTAATATCCTACTTGGGACCCTAATAGGTTCTAGGATAGTTCCTTTTAAGGCCTTCGGGTCTACCCCCTTTATTCTCCTGGGTTATCCCTTCGATTAACTTATAAAGATTTCCGAAGCTAGTATTATATGGGGCCCGTCGATACTCCTTCTGTGAACTTCGTAGCTTCCTCCTTTATACTAAAAATAGGTACCTATATAACTGCTATTAGGGATATCTCGTAATCCTGCCGTTATTCCTCTTTCTATTATTTTCTTCCTCTTCCTATTCTTTTCTTCTTCTTCTATACTCAGTTTTTCGGTCGGGTTACCCTTTTTTCGGTAAGTCCTGCCTAATCCAAAATATCGCGTACTAACGATTTATAGTCTTAATTAATAAATCAATTAATCCTCCGTCGTATAAGTAGTCCCTATATATCTCTAGTCTATAATACTGGCTAACTACACGCTATAGTATAGTTACTATACCTTCCTAAGAAGATAATAATAATAATAAGCGCACCGCCACTCCTACGAGTGTAACGGGATCCTCTAAGAGGATTAAGATCGTGGTTACGGCGTCGACCGTATAGTCCGCTAGGCAGTCTGCCCCGTAGCCAGCTACGCTAGAGCCTCCTACTTCCACTACGGCTACGTCGTTGTCGACTACTATACCGTTAGTCGCTCCCCGCTAGAAGGTAGTAGATATCAGTATAGGCGAGGATCTAAGGGCCCCCTATATACGTTATACGGGTAAGTTAGCAACGATTAACTTTAAGGAAAAGACGCACACTATCCAGGCCAAGACGTGCCGATACGCCGATAACGGTCAGCGTACGAATAAATACCACTACTACTCTAAGTATAATAGCCTTAAATACCGCGTGGTAAGTTATATATCTTTATTATTATCCCTATAGCTATAGTTCCTCCCTTTATAGACCACTCCGTAGACCCGTTTCTAATATATATAACAGCTCCCTATTGCCGGTAAGAACGCTACCGAGTAGCTATAAAAGGTTTTAGTTATCGCTATCGAGAAAGGTAGCCTAAACGAGAGCCGTCGTATAAGTATTACTATATCCCCTTATTAACCCTATATAGTACCCTTACTAATCGGTACTAGGCTATAGTAGTCCGATACCAGGTTATCCTTAAAGAGGCTCTAGGTTAAGTAATGCTAGAAGTTAACTGGTTATCTGCTAAGGAAGCTATAGCTACTCGGCGTTAAGCTAAAGAAGTTACCGACGCCCGCTAAAAAACGGCGGAAGATATCCACGAGAGGCTTAATAGTATAGAGTCGATCCTTAAGTAATTCGTCGGGCTATAGTAGTAGCGTCTAGCCGTTAAGTAAAAACGCCTCGATATTAAATAATAATACCTTATATTACACGAGCGCGACCTCGCGGCCTAGGAGCGGATAGCTACTACTTTCAAGCAGATAGCCGCTCTTAACCTAGCCCAGGCTTAGGTCTAGGAAGACCTGCCTACACCCTTAGGGTCTACCTTAGCCCCCGCGGGGGTTATCTTTACAGGTAACGATATATTTAGTAATAGTAGTCCTGCGTAACCTTAAGGCTTTATGCCGTAAGGTCCCTAGGGTCCCCTGGATTCTTATAAAGTGCCCGACGATAACGATATAGTGCCGGCCTTATTAGTGAAGAAGGGGAAGAAGGCTCTAACGCCCTTAACTCCTTTATTAGGGAAGAAGAAGAAGAAGTAGTAGAAGGCGAAGACGCCTCTATCTCTACGGCCTTTGATACTATCCGCGGGTAGTAGGTAAGAGCGGGGAACGGCGGTTACTACTACGGGGCAGAGCCAGGTATATATAGAGGATAATAATAACGAGGTGGCTAGGCGGGAGCCTACCCCTCTAGACGATAAGTTAGTGGGGTTTAAGGACGCCCTAAAGGGGCTATAATAATATATATAGAGGAAATAGATTTTCTTTTAGGTTTTTTACTAGCCTTCGGGTTAGGTTTTCCTTTTTTTTTTAACTAGCTTTAGGGTATTCCTATTATAACCCTAACGGTCCTAACTATACTTCGCTATAATATAATCGTGTCCTATCGTGACGGGTAATTAAGGGGAAAAGCAGAGGTAAATAAAGTTTAAGGGCGATAAGCTATCACACTAAAGGAATAAGAACGGGGTCGGCGTTACGCCCGAGAAAAAGAAGAATAGTAAACGAGGTAAGGACGCCTAATAATAAAAAGGGCGGTAATTAAGGGTAATAAACGCTAACAGAGGAAGAATATTAAATAAGGCGATAACGCCCCTAGGGTCCCTATCTGGATTAAGGGGGGGTCCCTGCCTAAGGATTTATCTCCACGACCCACTAAAGGGTTTTACTAGGTTAATATAGCCGATACGTGCGCCGTGTCTCTATTAGGTCCCCTACGGGAATAGTATAGGAACCTATTATATTCCTAGTAAGTCTTATTATCTGTAAGGAGGAGGAAGGATAGAGTAACGCCTTACGTCGTGTCTATAAGGTCTCCTATAGAAATAGTGTATAAATCCGTTTAGTTCCCTAATATTCTCGCTTTAAAGTAGGCGTCGACGAGTTCGTCGGGGATATTCCGCTTCGGCTCCTAGGTATTTTCTTTATCGCTATAGCCGGCCTATTTAATTAGATACTAGCGCCGTTTACCCTAATATCGATAGGCTAGGATAGCTTCGACCTTATACTTATCCGAATCTGGTTTAATATTAATTACGGGTGGCTCCGGCTATAACCTATCGCGGGACCTCTATAGTTCTAGTAGGGAAACCGGGAAGACGTTATAAATCCTTATACCCTTTAGTAGTTCTAACTAGTAGGCTAGGCTATACGTGCCGACGATCTTAGTTACTAAACTTATCGCTAAGCTTTTTCGAGGGTCTTTTCTATCGGATATTCTTCGTGGATAGTAAGACGTACTCGCCCACCTTAAAGGAGCGCTAGGCATGGCCGTTATTATAATACCGTTTATAGGAGGCCTACGCCCTCTTAATAAGATCCGAAATAGACCGGCGCTAGGCTATAAGGTGTTCCGCCCGGGTCTTAGCTTCGGCGGCGCGGACCTCGCCTACCCTCGGAAGCTATACTTTATTAGGTCCTCTTAGGTTATAGCCTATTAGAGTATCGGATAGGGTATGACGTATCGTAGAATACCACGCTATATTATAGGTGAACTCTGCTAACGGTTGCCGGTTAACCTAGTTATCCTATTCCTACGAGTAGAACACACGAAGATAGTGCTCGAGGTTCTGGTTCTACCGCTCCGTCTATCCGTTAGTTTATAGGTGCTACGCTATAGATAGGCGCCTGGCTATACCTAAATATTGATATAGCGTTACCTAAAAACGGCTGATAAATAGCGAGCCTTAGTCTAATATAATACCCTTAAGCAGGCTAAAAGTACGAAAAACGTGATACTATAGGGACTTAGTAAGTCCTTCTACTATTAGGGCACTACTCGTGGGTATATAAATTGAGTACTTTATTAGGCGGTATACTATTACGAGGATAGTATCCCTTTTACGGCCTAGGCCGTGGACCGGCGGTAGCCCCGTGATAAAGTTAATAGATATCTCTATAAAGGGGCGCTAGGGCACTAGGAGACTCGCTAGCTCGCTATAAGGCTTATAGTGCCACGGCTTAGTACGCTAATAGATAGTATGGGTGGGTATAAACTACCGGATATCCCTGGGTAAATAATCCTAAAAGTAGAAGTCCGAAATCCTCTTAATAGTCCTCGTAACCGTATAGTGCCCTACGCTAGGCCTATTATAGCA